CGGTCTGGCTAGTCAGCGAACCGGCCGGTTCGACCGGCGGTTCGAGTCAGTTTTTTTTAGCCCAGACTGTTTTGTTCGATTTTTCCCGGTCCGAGCATGTTCCGGCGAATTTTCAGTATTTTTGCGAGCCAGTCCAGTCAGTTCAACTATACCAGTTGAATTTCCAGACTTAGAATATTCTTAAGAAAAATCCCTTAACAGTCTAAATTCATCCGGATCAAGCATCTAGATCGAGCATATAAAATAATTATTTTGAGCACAATACTTAGCATATTTTACTTATATGTTTATATAGCCTAAGGAGAGTCGAGCCTCCGACCGCTACCTCAGTTCGAGCACTTTTGCATCAGTCCAGATATTTTCAATTACCAGGTGGGAGCCTTTACAGGGCGTTACATTGCGCATTTCAGTTATCCTGTATAAGGTACGTGAGTAAGAAATTTACCCAAACGGTTGAATTATCCCGTTTGTGGTCCAGTTAGTATCCAGGTGGGGGCCGACCTAAGGGCTTAAATATCCCATCTGATGACCGGTGGGGGCCGACCTAAGGGCCTTTATATCCCATCGGCGTGTGCACACGAGCGGCCGACTTAAGGGCCGAGGGTCTTTTGACCACAGTAAAGCAAAAAAAAAAAAAAAAGTTTACATTTCAGTACAACTTATTTATTTTATGCTGCTTTTAAGTTCATGTTTACAGTTAAGATTATTACAGTTCCAGTTTTCCCACAAGCATGCAGATGTGCTCACACTCCCACAGTCTTTCTTATTTCAGGTGTCGGAGTCCAGCGTGCCGGGTGAGTAGACGTGGCAAGCGTGGCCATGAACAGTGGACATTTTTATACACAAATATGTCCCAAAAGTTATAAGCATGTATTTATATGAATGATTGTGATATGTATATTTTATTTGTAAGCTTCCACTGAGTTAGTGCGATCAAGCGGACTACATGTATACTTTTCTTACCGCCACAACGGCTCGATTGGATGCATGTTTATTTTATGTCCGAAAAATAAAGTTAAGAAAGTTTTCGTAGGATCCCGCAAACAAGTTAGTATTTTCGAAAACCAAGCTCGCACTACCTTTCGAAAATAAAAGCGAAAAATGTACTCTGATTTTTAAAAGTCAAAGCTAGTCAAGGTGGGATGTTACAACTTGGTATCAGAGCAGTTAGCGTTCTGGATAGTTTAAAAAGTTTTTAAAAAAGCATGACCACGCCACGCTCACTCCGCGCTGACTCCGAGGTAAGTCACCTAAGCCAAGTTTTAAGTTTTGCAAGTGCTTATTCAAGTTCAAGTATGGGGCCTAGATAACTATCCTCCTAGAAGAAAGAGAACTCTAGAGAGAGAACTCTAGAAAGATGGGCTAAGACCAAGAACTCTAGACAGATCTCTAGAACAACTAAGTCCAAGTACTCTAGCCTAAGTCAAAACTCCAGTTTGAATCAGAACTCTAGACTAAGTCAAAACTCTAGCCAGAGAACTCAGAAGAGTTAAGTACACCGGAACTCTAGCCAAGCTACGTGTTTTCGGTTTCATTAAACGTTTGAAGGATGGTATAACTATTTCTTAATTGGTTATATCGTTTTCTCGTCAAACAGTTAGTGGCAATCCAGATAGCCGTCCCACAAAGCTCCGAACCCACCCATCGAGCGGGAACAGGCTGTGGTCGTGGGCCAGTTCCAAGGATTGGTAGAACGACTACTAGCGTATGAGAACGAAGCATGAGTACGATCAGATGACATGGAACCGACACTGAGGGATCTAGTAGCCAAGTTTTCTATCGCGTTTTAAATAGCGGCAGATGAAGCAAGAGTCCAATGCCTTTTCAGCAAGAGGCCACTCGGTAGAGGAATACGATCGTGAATCTTTAAGAGAGCGCATTCGCTCGTCACCTCTTAGACCCCGAGGAGAAGAAAGCATGCTGATACCAGGGCGACGCATTCATTCATCTCGGCCAAGTGTTTTTATCGGCCATGAGGGCCCAGAGAATGAGTACTGTTGACCCTCTCGAGGACAGCATAGCTTCGAAAGGGAGATAGTCATGGATTCCCTGGCCAAGCATCGTATCAGAGGCAGAACCCTAGAAGAAGACGCGTTTGTAAACAAGATGGAAGATATTGTCCTAAATTCTCGGCAAGGATTGGTTGGAGGTGTCACGCAGACATCAGATATCGTGACCGGGAGATGATACTGCACTTATCCGAGAGAGATCGCATCACGTTTTCGGGACGTAGGCCCAAATTTTACTGCGTGTTAATTTCATGGCGGAAGCAGCGAAGTACTTACAGAGGGAGGAGTATCAGGGAGTCCTTGTCAACATCGTTGGGAAGACTTCGGAGAAGCGGACGCCCAGAGATATACCCAAATTCCGTAAATTGGTGGACGTTTTCTCGGAACAGCTACCAGGAGGACCAACTAATCGTCAGGAGGAGTTCGCAATCGACGTAGTCCCTCGAGCGGGACCAGTGACGAAAGCACCATAGAGCGAGGCGCCAAGGAGTTTCAGGAGTTGAAGGCTCAAATTTAGGAGCTGTTGAAGTCTCAGTTTCATCCGACCGAGCGTATCACCATGGGGAGCACCAGTCCTTTCTGACAAGAAAAAGAAATGGTACGCGAGAATGTGCATTGACTAACGGGAATCGAACCAGCTGTCGATGAAGAACAAGTATTCAAGCCCCAGTATAAGGGGCTTATTCAATCAGCTAAGGGGGGCCAGCGTATTTTCCAAGATAGATCTGCATTCTCGTTATCATCAACCAATGATCAAGAAGGCCAAAGTGGCCGAAACATCTTTCAGAACTAGATGCAGACCCCCCGAGTTCGTAGCGATGTCGTTTGGCTAGAGCAATACGCCTTCGGTTTTCATGGGTCTCATGGACCGTGTCTTTTATCCCATCTTAGACCGA